TGTAAATATTTAACCTGAATTTTTTCAGTCAGTCTTTGAGGTACTGCATTTTGATATTTGAGACAGTGTTGGCCTCAAACTCCTGAGCTCAGTTCATCACTCCCTCCATCATGAGTGGTAACAACTACAGCTCTTGCTGTTCAACATGATGGCATATTGGACTGTATTGACTGGTTGAGATTAATGTTTTTTTAAATTGATGAATTTTATTAAGTTGTATAAACATCCCTCAACAAATTTTAAGGTTCATCCATTTAGCAAGCCTTTACTGAACACCTGTGAGTTGGTTGGATCCTGCTACAGTGAGCACTGAGCAGTTTACATTTTTTAATTACATTTTTTTTTGAGAGAGAGAGAGAGAGAGAGAGAGAGAGAGAGAGAGAGAGAGAGAGAAAGGGGTTTATTTCAGCTTAACTTTCGGGTCACATTCTATCACTGAGGGAAGTCAGGGCAGGAGCTCCAGGTGGGACTGCAGTAGAAACCGTGAAGGAATGGCGCTTTCTTTCTGTCTCATGCTCATCGAGTTTTCTAACTGGACCCAGTATCACCTGCCTACGGATGCAAGGTCCACTGTGGGCCTCAGCCTTCTCTGTCAATTAGCAGTCAAGAAAATGTCCCATAGACAAGCGCATAGAGTAGTCTGATAGAGGCCGCTCCTCGGGTGAGGGTCTCATGCCTGGTGGCCCTAGTTGTGCAAGCTGACTGACGTCTAAGCAGCACACCAGGCTCCTTTTAACTGCACTGAACTGTACAATCATTGACTCTTATCATCTGTGCCACCTCTCCTAAAGCTTTAAACTTACCCAGACACTTCCCCAAGCTTCATATGTCTCTTATCCTTTTTTCTTTCTTGCTGGATGAGAGCAGGGAACAATAACCATTACATGGCTTGAATGCTAAACAAATTATTTGTCATGTCTTTAAATTCAACAATATCCAAGTTCTCAGGCTATGGGAAGAATGCAGCCAGACTGTTTTTCGTGATATCACAATGTCAGCACATAGCTCAGGTCCCCATAGAGTCCTTGAAGCCTTATGAGCTAGGCCTTCTCTGCCCAAATTTGTCCTAGCACCTTTGTCTTGCAAGACCCCACCAGAATAGCCTATCACATGCTACTTACAGTATCCAAGGGGCTTTCTATCCTAAACTTACAAACCTTCCCACATTTGTCTAACAGACCAACATTAAAGGCCTAAGAGACACATAGTTGGGTTTGTTACAGCAATGAACTCAGGTCTCAGTTCCAGTTTTCTAAATTACATTGTCTTTAGGGAGGATCTTGTATGTGACAGCACACACAGGGGTATTAGAATAAAACTCTGCTGATTGTTTCTCCTTTGAGTATGTGGGTCTCGGGGATGGCAGCACATGCTTTGTTGGCTGAGCTATCTCACCAGCCCAAAGACAGGGATTTAAACATCACACTTTCTGCTTTCATGGTCTCATAGTGAGGGATGGAGACAAAGAAGTTGAAAACATACTAGCATGTAAGTGTAATTATGACTGATACTGCAAGCACACAGAGGAGGACCTGTGTTCTCCCTGAAGAAATTAGAGAGATAGCCCTGTAATTTTGGAATGCCATTAATCTTAAAGAACAACTGAGCGGTCATCGGAGGAAGTCAGGTGGATCAGGAGGAGAACATGGAGAGGCAAGCATGGGAGAGAGTGATGGGAAATAGATGTGGCTTGGCATGCTGGGTGCCAGAAGCATATGGAAAGTGAGCATAGTGTTGTATTGGACCATGAGGAACACTGTAGACCTGTGAGGAATGTGGACTTTGTCCCTTAGGCAGTGTGCGTGCTCCCAAAGTACTAACCAGCAGAAAATTAAAGCCATCCACATACATGACCTGAAACTTTCTAGGAGCTGCATGTAAGATGTAAAATACGTAAATGATGAGGAAAAGAATTGGAACCAGCCTAAGTGTTCATCTGCCAATTAGTAGATAAACAGATGTGTATGTGCACTGCGGGGCGCTGCTCATCCATGAGAAGGATGAACTCTGTCTTCTGCAACAATAGGGATGGACCTAGAGATCGTGATGTTAAGAAAAGTAAGGCAGACACAGGAAAAAGACTCTTACTCGTGTCTGTGGAAATGGCTAGTAGAAGGGTGCAATGGTGGGTACCCAGGACGGGAGAGAAGCGGGAGGGGTGGTGCGTGGGACGGATGGTGACGGCTAAGTTAGTAGATGGGGTGAGGAATGCCGAGTGCTGGTGTGCCATTACATGGTGTGCTGACCAGATGATAGCCATGTACATTTCAAGGAGTGAGTCTGAATCTTGGCATCATAAACACTATGTAATTAATAGATGACTTTAATCTGGCTTACGCATCACATGTACTCCATAGGTAGTTGTGATGTTTTCATAGATTAGTTAAAAATAAACAAAATATAATATATGTATTTAGTCAAAAATTTCAAAACAGTCCAACATATAAGCAGCATAAAATGATTAGTGAAATAGTCTACATTTTATATCAATCCTCAACCTTTTGTGTATATTTTGTATTTGCAGCATCTCCTAGTTTAGACTAAGCATGTGTGCCTGGTAGATATTATATGAGACACTACAGTCCAAGAACATTCTAAATGAGAAAACAGATTTGAGTTATGAAAAGAGGTTGGACAAGAAGGAAGTAGAACTAGGTGAACAGAAGGGATGATGAGAAACATTTAATAACTGCATTGATATAAGCCTGCATTGTCCTCCAGCCAAGTTTACAGCAAGTCACTTGACTCTGACTGCTTCAGTCTCACATGCTCCTCCAGTTCAGCCTAGCCAACAGACCACTATCTTCCCTGCAGCCTGCTCCTTCAGCGGGGGGTCCCCTTCTCACTCCAGATATTGTAGCGTGCAGTAGTCATCATGTGATGTGGAATTCACCTTCAGAATCCTGTTTCATCTCCACCTTGCCTGGTAACTCCTACTAGAATAGGTTCGCCAACCAAAGTTCTCATCATATTTGGTATTCCTACATGACACACATCCCTAGTTAAAATTGTGGCCAGTCCCCACCCTGCTCCAGGTAAGGCTTATGCAGGCAGCTATTTGGGTTGCAACCGTGTTAGTGAGCACCACACATCTGTTCTGTGATGCTGTGGTTAAATGGGTGCTCAACCAACTTTTAAGCATAGCATCAAGATCTGCACTGCCTTGTGGAGAATTATATGCGTTTCCTTCTAGTATAGAAAGGCTGCATGGAAAAGATGTGCAGAAAGACATGTGTGAGGTTCAATTCAGCTATGTTCCTTACTAACTCTGTGACCTTGAACAGTTTCTCTTTCTTGACCTTGGTTTTCTTACGAGTGAAATAGGGACAATAATACTATTTTCCAGGTAGTTTCAGATTAAGCAGATGAGGCAGTGCTGGGATTATTACTCAGTTGTAGAGTGCTGGCTTTGTGTTTTTGAGGCCCCAAATTTGATCTCCAGTGAGTACTTGCATGCATATGTGTGCATACATAAAAACTTTAAAAAGAAGTGAGATCCCTCTGATGTTTGACATTTGGTAAATAGCCAAGAAGCACTCACTGATGTAATATTTTACAGCTTTCATTGGCTCAGATAAGCGTGGTTCTTATTAAGCTTTACAATGATGTGTCTGTTGTTGCTACCACTTGCATACTTTGTGAGATCTATAGCATATTCTAAATAATTGTAGACACTGTCAATGATCAGTTGTCATCCCAGTAGTTGATAAAGCATCAATATTAACACTAATAAACCCTTGATCAAGAGAAATAAGAAAATGGCAGCCAAGTGAGTTCTGTTATTATGTGTGCATATATCAGATACTCAGAAACATGGAATATTAAAGGAAAGTACATTTTTTATTTTCTAACTAAATTACAATAGCAGATTTGTAGCTCAACAACAGAAATTGTTCAAAATATTTTTAAGTTTTCTGACTTATTAACCAGTAGTACAACACAGAGGTTCAAATCTCCTCACTGTCTTATAAAGACCTCTGTGTGCAGAGCAATCCAGTGTGTGCTGGAGGCGGGAAACAAAGGATAAAACATAGCTTTTGATCCCTAGGATTTGTTACTTGTTTGGAGAGAACTGTCTGGATCAAGTAAAATGGTTTATAACTTAAAGACAATGGTATTAACTGCTAACATCAAAGACAGCCTTGAGGTCATATCCGAGGAAGGTGGCCATAAAATAATCGGACGCTCTATTTGTGTTTTAACTTTAAGTTTCGTTTATTTCCTGTGCTAGGGGATGTATATGTGTCAAGATGCACAACCATGTTCTTCCTCTACCATGCTGATTCCAGGGATCAAACTCAGCTCACCAGGCTTGGTGGCACATGCCTTTAGCAGCTCAGCCATCTCTCCAGTTCAGACCTTGTATTTCTCGATGGCTCCATTTGTTATAGAAATGGAGAGAACCCCCTGTACATGACGTATGAGGGCAAAGTGCCTTTCAGAATACTGAGACTCACACGGTGCTTCTGCTGACCCCACAGAGGAGCTGCGATGGAACTGGAGCCATGTACTTCGTAGGATGTGGGTACAATGCCTTTCCCGTGGGCTCTGAGTATGCTGACTTCCCGCACATGGATGACAAGCATAAGGACAGAGAAATACGGAAGTTCAGATACATCATACATGCGGAGCAGAACGCTTTGACCTTTAGGTATGAGCTATGTTTAGCCTCTGTCCTTTAAAAGACAGCAGAGGTTAGCTGAGGCTAGTTCTCTGTTGTTTTCCTTTAAAAACCCTAAGAGATACTTTCAGAAATAGTGTCTTGATTAAACGTGGTCCTGCTCTTGGACTGGAGGCTATGCATGGGCAGATTCCCCAGCTCTTTCCATTTCTTCAGAAATCCTCTCTTCTTACTCTCTCTAGTATGAATGTATTGGATGATTGTCCCTAGGGACTTGACCAGCTATTTCTATTTTGGGATGTTAGTATCCCCTTTGTTTTCTAAATTTAAAGCACATCTGTTCTGTTTAGGAAATACTCCCTTGTTACTATTCTGTGAGGAAGCATCACGACCAAAATCAAGTTGAGGAGGAAGGGGTTTATTTGGCTTACACTTCTACTTTGCAGTCCATCACTGAAAGAAGTCAGGACAGGAACTCAAACAAGGCAGGAACTTAGAGGCAGGAACTGATGCAAAGGCCATAGAGGATTGCTGTTGACTGGCTTGTTCCCCATGACTTGCTCAGCCTGCTTTCTTAAAGAACCGAAAACCACAGTCCAGGGATGGTACAACCCACAAGTGGGCCCTCCCCCATCAATCACTAATTGAGACAATGTCTTACAGGTTTGCCCACAACCTGAACAACATTTTCTCAACTGAGGTTCCTCCTCTCTAGTGACTTAGTTTGTGTCAAGTTGAGATAAAATTTGAGTTGTACTAGCTAGCACAAGTACAGATGTTATGAACTAAAGTGTTTTAAAGACCCTTTGTTTGAGGGGACCAGACAAGAAATCTGCTTGAGACAGTGTCTTCTATATATGGCAGGGAAGCTGAACCCAGGAAATGTCAACTATATTGCTTCCTAAATGAGACCTGAACAGTTATACTAGCAACTGTTATATCAGTGTGGATAGGGAAGTTCTCACATGGCGTTACCCCTAGAAGAGCAACAGGCAGTTAGTTAATAGCTATGGAGAGAAGGAGAATCAGTGTTCTCCAGGGATGAGGCCCTGATGGGATAGCCAATTCAATTTTGGTTCAGCCCCAACCAAATGTGAGCAACTCTGAATGGTCTCAGCAGGTTGTGTTTATGAAGACATGTGCGCGCGCGCACACACACACACACACACACACACACACACGACTAAAATTAAAGAGTACGAGATGGTGAATTTGAGGAGTAGGAGGGCGATGGGAGGAACTAGAGAGAGGAGTGGAGAGGAGACTGAGTAACTGCAGAACTCCTGTATGAAACTCTCTAAAGAAATGTTTAAAGTGCTCTGTCAGAGATTGCTGTTCCTGCAGCCACAGGAGAGCCACTTCAGTCTAGGCCACCACAGCACACATCAAGAATATCAACTGCTCTTTCTCCATCTTCTTCAGTGTAGGTTTACCTTCTGTGTTCTGCACAAGAGTTTGGATATGTCATATCCATTTAAAAAAAATAAGTTATGATTGGAGAAGGTTAGGGGAACTGTAGCTCAAAACTGGAAGTTACTATTTATTCGTTAAGGAAGTGTATAACAGTGTATGTCTAACTTAGAGCTCAGTCTTTTGGCTGCTGTGGTGACAGTTACTCTTGGGAACTAAACCCCATTGTCTGGAGTCATACGAAGTACATATGCAGAAAGGACCTACTCCTGTGTCACACTCCTTTCTCTCCCCAGCCCTCTGCTCTCGGCTACTTTCTAGTACGATGTCAAACATACCAAAAGCTTATTCACAGTCAATGACTGTCAGTTAGGATTGTCAGATTTTTGCGTACTTTGAATATTGCTAATTTAGCAAGAATATTACTTGATCATTGTTTGTAATATTGCAAATTTGTTTTACAAAACTTCAAATTTAAAGTTTAAGAATTTCTCTAAATATTTAGTCTTTAATAACAGCTTTTGTAATATTTTATAACTTTTTATAGATGTCAAGATATAAAACCAGAAGAACGCAGCATGATCTTTGTGACAAAATGCCCTTGTGATGAGTGTGTGCCTTTAATTAAAGGTGCCGGCATAAAGCAGATCTATGCTGGGGATGTAGATGTTGGGAAAAAGAAAGCAGACATCTCTTACATGAAGTTTGGGGAGCTCGAGGGTGTTCGAAAATTCACAGTAAGTCATGTACACATACTTTTCCCAAAGTGTACCTCTGTTTGGTAACCTGCTGACCATTGTGAATTAGTGATTTTACTCTTTTAGGACTGTGAGTGACTTTATTATTATATTTACAAGTTTACTGACATGTACATTTCCAGCAAAGGATCCATGCCTGCAACTGCACCCGCACCTGCGCCCGCGCCCGCACCTGCACCTGCACCTTGCAGAGTTGTGCATTGGCCTTTGGTGTCTCGATGCCCTCCCGTGGCTCACCTTCTCTCCAGCCTTGGAGTGCTGGACAGAGGGGCAGTTGTAGTAGCCATGCCTCACAAATGCACCGTACACACATTCTCAGGAGGGAGATCAGAGACAAGATCACTACATACTTAAGATTTTTTTAAAGGGATAGAGGTGATTTGTGGAAAAGTCAGAATTTTTAAAATGCTTTTTTCTACTTAGGCTTTAAAAAAGTGTTTTACTTTGGAATATTCTCAAGCATGCAGAAAAGTTATTAGAATTCTGCAAAAATTTTTCCCAGAGATTGTTGGCATGATATCAAATTACCCTGTTTCCACAATGTGATGACCCAGCTAAAGCCACAGGATGAAGAAATAAAGTGAGATTTTGCTGCAGTGAATCCAGGACTCCCACAGGGTTCCTGATTATCCTAGTTATGCTCTGTGGAGAGCCATCTTGTCCAGAATCACAGGCTCCCTTTTGTGTCACCCAGGGGCCTAAGCCTGGCACCTAATACCCCATCAATAGACTAGAATGTGCAGTGAGTAGGGATGTTTCTAAAGAGCTGTTTACAATGTCGGCCTTATGTTCCTGCTTCTATGGTTTAATCAAAGCATACATGTACAGAATACACATGGATATGTTATAAAGCAGAATGTGCTCATTGTACCAGACTAGGAACACTTCAGAATGTGTATTATTCTGTAACCTATATATAGCATGGTCAATGTGTTACTGTATTTTCTGTGTTGTTAAAAGTTCCAAAAATTACTTTTAATAATCAAACATATCCCAACCTGAACACCTAGCTTATATAATTATTTCCTTTGTTATATAACTATATTATTCCCAATTTTATAGTTGTAAAAAGCCTTTCTATAAGTATTTTGAGATGAAAGTTTCAAGTTACTGATTTTTACTGTTTTGCTCAAAGTTATAGATTTTGGTGGTTTGGTATATTTCAAACATTTCTTATGTAACTCCTCACATACATTTTATAAATCCCTCCTCCCTCTCCCTCTCCCTCTCCCTCTCCCTCTCCCTCTCCCTCTCCCTCTCCCTCTCCCTCTCCCTCTCTCTCTCTTTCTCTTTCTCTCCCCATGTGCGTGTGTGTGTGTATGTGTGTGTATGTGTGTGTATGTGCGTGTGTGTGTGTTATACACATGTATATATGTGTAAGCTCACCAATGGTTGCCCATATACAGGTCAGAGGTGATGTCAGGACTCTGTATTACTCTCCACCATGGCTTCTGAGACTAGGTCTCTTGCTTAATCTGGAGCTCACCCTTTCCAGCTAGACTGGCTGACCAGTGACCCTCCAGGCTCACATGTCCCTCCATCCCCAACTCCAGGGCTATAGGCTCGCTGCTGTGCCTGGCATTCCTTTGGGTACAGAGATCATGCTCATGCTTATGTGACCAGCACTTTCCCTACTGAGTCATCTTCTCACTGTCTTGTCTCTTTCTTGGGGCTAACCTCAGCCGTTGTATTTTTATAAGTTACCAAAGTCTGAGTCACATGTTTATTCTTTATTGCTCAGGCCTTCTTTAGCTAGTATAAAACTCAGTAGATGGGGTGGAGATGGCTCAATGGGAAATGAGAGCCTGAGTTTGGATCTCTGGAATTAACATAAAAAACAGACATGACCACGTGTGCCTGTAACTGCAGAGCTGGGGGTAAAAAGAGACAATGACAGGAGGATTGCCGAGGATTGCTGGCTGCCAGCCTGGCTGGAAGACTGACAATTTTCAGATCAGTAAGAGACTCTGTCTCGAGGGAATGAGGTGAAGAGCAATAGAAGAGGATGCTTGTCATCTCCTCTGGCCAATACAGGGCACACACACATACACACGCACACACACACACCCCACCACCACCACCACCAACAATAATACCAACAACAACAATTCAACACAGACGTCTGCTTTCTCAGAAAGATTTTTGCAACAACCAAGGCACCTTTGTGGAGCTCGTTACCAAAGGCAAAATAGCCATTGTACACTTGGGCATGTAGAAGTCTCCTCCAGACCAAGTTAAGAAAGCCATGAAGGTGGCCATTAATGTATCAATATTGGCCACATTGACTGCATATGCTTATTATAACAAGAATGAAGAAAAAGCCATCCAAGGTCAGATCAAAGAGAAATGATAGGACCTCTTCATTGTCAGCAAGTTGTGGTCCACCTGCATTGAGAAAACTGCTGAAGAAGCCTTTCAAAAGACCCTCTGGGTCTAAAACTGGATTGTTTGTACCTCCGTCATATTCAGTGGCCACAGGGACTTAAGCTCAGAAAGAAGTTTTTCCCACAAAATGATAGAGTCAGTATTCTTACCATTAAATTAGCCTTATTGGATGTATGGCAGGTCAGGGAAAAACTGGTAGATAAAGAGTTGGTGAAAGCTCTGGGCATCTCCAACTTCAACAGCCTGCTTCCTGCCTGAGACAGTTCATCCAGGAGAATGTTCCTACAACACAGAGATCATCTGAAGACTGCCTGGTAGAGTCCCTCTTTGCTAACACGCACCGCATCCGTCACACCTCTCATATTCTTAGCCTGGTCTGTCTGACATCATGCTGTGGCAGCCTTGCTGGAGGACAAAATCCAAGTAATGCTGTATTTAAATTCTCATGCTGAACCACTGGAAGACTTCAGGGAAATGTGACTCAGAAGCATTGCTTGTACTAATATGATCTGACCAAATATTTGTCAAACACCAGGAGCTCAGCTAGTGCTGGGGATGTAAACATAAAATGATAAAAATAACAATAGTAACAAGCATTAAAAAAAAAGTTAAAAAACACCTCGGTGGGTCCTGGAGATAGACAGTCCCTGGTTTGTTATGGGTGCGCAGATTGTAATCGTGTCTCTGTCTTACGTCACTGTGACCTGGGGGAAGTGACTACAGTTCTCTAGTTCTTTATCACCTATAAAATGTGTATAAAGGACTGTTAGAGCCCCTTCTTCTCTGAGGATTTTGATTCTGATTCTAGATTCAGGTGATCTGATTTAGGATCATTCAAGGTCAGTGCCTTAATAGGCAGATATACATGGACTTTTGAAGCTATTTGATAAAGAAAAGCAAGGTACTGATAAAGCAAGGTACTGATGTGCTGCTTATTAACTCATTTTAAACCTATAAATAAAATATCTGTACTTCCTACAGTGGCAGTTGAATCCGTCTGAAGCTTATAGTCTTGACCCAAGTGAGCCTGAAAGGAGAGAAAGTGAGTATCTCTAAGCATTCCGTGGGGTGGTGACGCTGAGGAGCGGGAACAATCAGTAGTGGGTTTTAAAGATCAGATGATGGACCTGTGTATGGGTAGCTGCAGGACAGTCTTTTCTAAAAAGTAGATTCACACATTCAGCTTGTTCCTAAACATGTGTATGTGAGGAGCTGTGTAAAGTGCTGCTTGCTCAATACTGCAGTAATATAAATGACTGTGTGCAAATCGAATCTATAAATTACATTTGTTTGAAACGGCGAGCAACAGCACTCTCCTACACTCATACAAAAGCTTCTTGGGAGTCAGAGAGGGGAGCTGTGAATATTGAGGGCTGAGCAATGAGGGCATCTGTGTTCTTCTAGAGTAAAGACTCAGTGGCCCAGGCTGCTGGGAGGATGGAAAGATTCTGTTTAGTACCTTAATGAAGCAGAACTTTACACAAGTGAGTCCCTAGTCTTCACACTTATCATCTGCATATTAAGTAAAACCATGTTGAATGTAATATATCATGAGAGTTACAATTCCATAAGTGAATGATATTGAACACGATGCTATGCAGATTTGTTTTAAAATGGTAGCTTGGTTGTGATTGTCTGGGTTTTAAGTAACTGGAATCTCCTGTATATTTTCTTAAAGCATCAGTGACTTGATAATCTTGAAAAACCCAAAAATAGAAAGGTTTCTATGAAAACATGAATGTCTTATTTATCATTTATAGTCTGGATACATAACTACTACATTTTCTTTTTAAATTTGTATTAAGAAATAAAGGAAATAAAAGATGTGACCGTGCTCAGAGGTGTTTGAGGGCCAGTGTGAGTGTCCTGCACTTAGGGAGCGAGCATACTGTGCTAACTGTAGAAAGACACATTCCTTTGTCTGTTGAAATTAAGAGCATCTGTCCATCAAAAGATCCCACTAAGAGGGTGCAAAGGCAAGCCATGGAGCAGAAGACATGTGTCACTTAAAATCAGCCAAGGGCCTGTGTCCGGGATCTCAGGAGGAGGAAGACATGCCTGCGGGTGACTGAACAAGGAAGGCTGCTGGGCTGTCAGGCAGTGTCTCAGCCACCCAGTCAAGTGTGCACTTCTTGGTGACAGTTTGTTAAGCCTAGCTTATGTTTTGATGCATTTTTAAACAAGAATTTTATATCAATAAATAATATGGTTATCTCCTTTTCAATTATGGAACAGCTTCATAGTCTATAATTTACTTACTGTGAATTCGCCCCTTTAAAGTACAGAGCTCACTGGCCTTTGTCCCTTCAGAGCTGTGTCCTCACCAACGCAGTGTAACTCGAGTGTGTTTCATTACAGTATAAAGAAACCTGATCTCAGTGTAGTCCCCCTGTCCTTCCCACCCCAGTCCTAGTCAACAAACAGCTTTATGGATTTGTCTCCCCTGGCCGTTTCACACACAGGGACTCATGGTGTGTGGGTCCCTTTTGCACTTCGAATCTGTTAAAAACAAAACCAGGAGAGCAAGAGAAATGGAAGCCAAGCTTCAGCTCTTTTGCTCCATGGAGCCTTGACTCCTGGCCATATCCAGCTATGTAGTATGTATGTATGTAGTATGTAGTATGGAGACATGCTGCCTCATGCAAGCTCAGTGACAGAGACAGGAGCATACACAGAAGGGAGGTGGGACCGAGTGACTGTTCAAGGATCCTATGCTGTAGAAACAGCCCAGATAAAGCACTCTTTTTAAATAGACGCTAAACTTTCAAGACGATAAAGGTAATGTTCAAGGACTCATATTCTTAAAAAAACAAAAAAAAAAAAACAGGTAAGAGGAATGTGTTGTTAGAATTTAGCTTGCAAAGTAAGTGAACACTGGAGTCAGAGGTGACCCAGGACAGCTCTCCGTGCTGCCACGCAAGCCAGTGGGGATCTGCTGAAAGGTGGTGAACTGAAGCTGCTCTTAGGCTTCCAGCCTCACAGGAAGCCTCAGGCTCCTCCTCAGGTTCCAGTGGCCCCTTAGCAGAAGCAAATGCAGTCTTCTCAAAGAAGGTTGTCCATCAGCTTAGCCCCACAGGGTATGAGATGTGGCGTCATAACTGAGAAGCCAACAGGCATGGAGAGGACATGCCATGCATGGAGCGAGCAGCAGCTAGCACACAGACCGTGGCTCTGTATCAGAACTGCCAAGCAGGATAGAGTAGAAGCAAAAGCGCCATTGAAGCAAAGCCACATCTGCATCTAATCTCACCTCCAAAGAAGCTGAGGCAGGAGGACTGTGATTTGGGAAACAGCACAGGTAAAAATGTGAACAAACTGTTATGAAAAAGAATCAGGAAATTTTGAAAAAGAAATTTGGAGAAATGAAAAAATACAGTTGTTAAACATTAGGTGGTAAGCTGCTGTTTCATAATAGGTATGGGCTGGTGTCTGGGGGAGACATCTAAACAATCACTGCCTAAGGCATACTGCTGCCAAGTGTTCATGTAGAACATGGTGACAAGCTCTTACCTCACTAATGCATACTGCTGCCAAGGGTTCATGCAGAACATGGTGACGAGCTCTTACCTCACTAATACTAGAGATCTAACCCCAAGAAGTAATGATTAGAGGAAAAAATAATTTAAAAGGTCGGAAGATGGGTGTAGAAAATTCTAGGTATTTTTATGACTGAAGTAATATATATAGTATATGTATATTATATATGACACACATATACATAAATATAGTTTAGGACATAGATGAATGTTGATTATAAAAGCAAATAACTGACAAATTGATACTTCTTAGCAAGTACTTCACCCAGAGATATTATAAAGAAAATTTGGGAAAAGCCACAGAGTACCTAGGGATGAGCCCATTCCAGAGCACAGAGACTCTTAGAGATTGACAGTAGGGAAACATCTGATGGGAATGGAATTGACTCCTCGACTGGTTCCCAGCAGCAGAATAGAAATATCCGGTGATACCATGAGCAGACTCTCAGGCGTCTTCAGAGACCACAACCACGGGTGTCAATGCCAAGTGAGCAGGGGACGGGTACTCAGAATGCCTGTGTGTGCTGTGCAGGGCTGGGACTTTGAATCTCGTTGTCTAGATTAGACATTGTAAAAACCCCACTTGGTATATCTAATGGCACAGCAAGTCAGCTTGCAAGGATAAGCTCTGAAGAAACTTGTATCATACAGAAGTGACAGACTGTTCAATATAATGCTGTTCTCCAGATCAAAAGCTGGAAACGACATGAAAATTTCTCTTAACAGATTAGATTTTTAAAGAAATATGTAGTATTCACACTATGGGAACCTGCTATGAAGTGAAATAAATGCTGTGGCTCCATGCTTCAACATGGATGACTAGGTAGTGTTGAATGAAGACGGTAAACTGCAGTGCTGCACTGTAGAGTACTAAGCAAAGCAGTGCATCGTTTCACATATGCCATAGAATTATCTACCAAGCAGTGAGGTGATAAACAAGACAGGTCCTGAGTGGGCTTAGAGGGCAGCGTGGGGATTCGTGGGGACTCAGTCATTTGGGGCAGCTCGCTCTTCTCTTGGCCCCATACAAAGTTTCTGCAGATTTGAGTGAGACAACTCTTTGGGGACAGTAGATTCTTAAATGTTTGGTTCTTTGTTTTATTCTTTGGCTAAGTTGTAAATATATTTTGAATGTTTCAAATATAGCACAAAAAGTCAGGCAGGGCTTTCAGGTCCCTTTTGGAAGATGATTATGGCAGTTTTATCAAGAAGCTGGAAGTAGAGGATGGGCGGGAACTTGCAGGTGTAGGTATGTTTGCAGGTATGTTTATGGATTCACAGATGTCTGGTTATGCGAAACTCACTGGGTTTCCACTGTTAATATCCTATAAGCACGTGTAGCTTATAGCACCAATAAAGTCACTAGAAACCAAAAGCTAAAAAGAGTTTGAAGCCAGTCCCTTCCCCTGGCATGGCTCTTCTGAGAATGCCAGCTTCTTATCTTAGGAGCCTGTAAACAGGAGTCCATTTTTGTTGCTCTGAGCAGTTTGTGCCTCTCTCAGGAGGATACACAGGCCTATGCTGTCTCTTCCAGATAAATAATGACTTCCCACCCCAAGAAAGTTATGTGTTATTTGTTGTACATTGCTGAGTGAATCCTGTTTATCAAGGGTTATCAAATACTGTATTATCTGTGAGTTGTCTAGAATCGGTACAGACCAAATACATTTTAAACTGTGGGTTGAGATGGGTGAGAGGTTGAAGGTGTAAGATTCAATATGTGTTCCTTTGCCATAAGCATGATTTGTCTTCCCAGCCTGAATGGCTGTACCAAGTTCCCATGGGCTCTGTGTGTGCTTCCTGACATAAAGTTATTCTTGCATGCTAGATGGTGTATTGAGGCGCAGGTCTGCAAAGGAAGAGCAGCGCAGCAGCAGCAAGAGGCCACGTCTGGAAACCCGCTCTGCAGGCCGGGCTACACTGCAGTAACCCGCATGCTTTCCTACTGCACCTCTCAGATTCAGCCTGTGGGGTTGTGAATGACTGAGAAGCCTTTATGGGGCTGAGTTATAATTAGCCACTGAGTGATATGACCTCAGATCCTTTTATTTCAGATGTGTTTCTCAGCATACTGTTCATTCATTACACTAAACGGGGTAGCAATAGTTTGAGACCAGTGTAAGAACAGTACCTATTGCTGTTTATCCAGAGGCTGTGTAGCCAGCTTCAAAAGGGTTCATTCACAGGAGGGAGTCTTCTTTAGACAAATAGTGATTACAAGGATGACAATCAGTAAACTGCTCCAGGGAATAAGATGACCTGGTCATCTCTTAAGACTGTATAAATAACCAAAAGGCTGTGTTACACTAAATCCTCTACTAGCCAGAACTTGCTGAAATAGATCGACTTAAAGCTGCTGTGCCCATTCTCCATTTTACACGAGTTCTGTAAGTGGCCTGGGGATTTGGGTCAGTAGAGCAGTGCTGGGGGAGCATGTGCAAGGCCCCGAGTTCCCGCCTGAGCACCACAAAACAAATAAAATGGTAATCTCACCTAAATGTGTTGTTGTTGTTGCTGTTGTTGTTGTTGTTGTTGTTGTTGTTGTTGTAGGGTCTTGTTCTGTAGCCTTTTACTTCAAATATCACCATTTAGTCCAGACTGGTCTCAAGCTCATGGGTGACCATCCTGGCTTGTTCAATCTCCGGAGTGCTGGGTTCAGAGCCACCCACTGCTGTGACGAGCCTCTCCTAATATTCTTGCTGTGTACATTAACAGTAGTGTGTTGGCCCACAGTGCAGTTATGTCACTGGTTTGGGTGGCCACAGGAAGAGAATACAATTCTGAGGCAGTTCTGCTGTTTGATGTCGCTGACCCACTAACGGCAAGCCTCAAATCTGATCATGGCTTGAGACTGGGAGGATAACTCAGGCAATAAAGTACCTGCTTTTCAAGTAAGAGGACCTGGGTTCAATCCCACAGAAACCAATTTCTAAATAAAGTTAGGTGTGGTGATGTACGCTTGTACCCCCAGCACTGGAGAGGTGGGTGGTTCCTAGCACTGGAGAGGTGAGTGGTTCTATTGGGCCTGCTGGCTGCCCAGCCTAGCCTACTTAGTGAGTTCTGGAACACTGAGAAACCCTGTCTCAGAAAATCAGGTGGCTAGCACCTGACAAATAACAGCTTAAGTTTGTCCATGTGTGCATGTACACATACCTCTGCACACACTACATACAAACTTTGATCATGATGTGACTGGGGAAGAACCATTCGAGTATTAGAATTCTTCCTCTGTATACTACCTCCTGTATACCTCCCCATCCATGTACCTAATGACAGGATCTTATAGCTCTGCCTTTGATGAGAAGGCCTTTTAAGAACATTTGTAATTCTCAGAAATAGTCTTAAAAATAGGCATATCCTGAGTGTGTGAATAAAGAGTGGGTCTCTGGTTCTTGTGCCTTCTCTTGGGGCTCTTCTCCTCTTACTGGTTTGCCTTGTCTACCTTTGGTGTGATGGTTTTGTTTTATTATATTTTATTTTGTTTTAAGAAAATGATTATCTGAAAAGAAGAAAAAGAAAAGGACACTGAAATTATGCCAGAAATGTTTTTTTTAAAAAGGCACCATCTTCATTCTTAATTTAGCAAACTAGACAAACTTCTAATTCAGAAATTCTGTGACAGGCCCCTCCCTTGGCCAAGAATCCAGGGAAATCAATATAATTCAAATGAGGAAATATCATTGTGGCTACTCTTGGCAATGTGGCTGCTGATTCAAAGGTAAAAGAAGTTGTTTTTTTTAAAAAAAAAAACCAACTTATAATCAAAATGTCCAATTTTACACACAGAAATATGTGGCTCTTTGCCAACAGGATCCATGGGACTCTTATTGTAAAGAAGCATTCGGACTTTTAAAGGTTTAAGTATCCATCCAAGGGGTTATTGATGGACATTCCCAGGTGTGATGGCATTGGTAGATAAAGCCCTCCATCTGTTGGCTAACAAATTATTACACAACTGCTTTTATTATTTTATATGAATCCTAACACCACACCACACTGACACTGACTGGCAGTACAATATTTTAATTATTAAACATGCACCTGAATACATGATATGGATAGAAGAGTCAGTTCCAGGGTTTATTGGATACCCATGCTAATGTGTCAGTCATTGTCTTGAAACACAGGCCTACTAACTGGGCTGTGTCAAATATGACAGAGCTCAAAATTTCATTAGATACCTTAGGTGGAAAACACCAATTGGCTGTTTTAGTATTTGATATTTGACGAGGCATAGATTTATGGGGACAAGTTTGAATACAGCAGTGAGAAACTGCTCACAGTAAATAACAGGGAAGACCCTTTTTGATGGTGGTCATTGATCTAGAAAGGCCAAGATCATTCCTTTCTTAGGGAAAATACACCAACTTATTTAGGTGGAGCAACAGCCCCTCCCCAGGGAAAAACTGTCTGCCCTACAAAATCAATACCATAGTATTGTGTATTGAGCCATTACTAGCTCTTAAAATGCCCATGTATTTGTTGTAAAAACAAAAACAAAATTCCAAAATCTTTTTAAAAAGTTATTTAACCTAAAAAATCATAATTTAACTATCTGATTCTGATGTCTAAAAATGATGCCTAGCATAGCAAGATACTCAAGTTATTCTTTTAATTTTTTTGTCTGTGTATGTGGGTGTTTTCTGTGCATGTATGTATGTATGTATGTATGTATGTATGTATGTATGTATGTGTGTGTGTATGTATGTGCTAGGAGTTCAGAAGAGGACTTTGGATACCCTAGAATTAGAGTTATGAATGGTTGTACACCACCACATGGATTCTGGGAACCCAACCCCAGTCTTCTGTAGGAGCAACAAATGTTCTTAATACTGAACTGCCTCTCCAGCCCCCTTGATAATTTATTTTTTCATTGAGTGACTGCTAGACCATCTGGACCTCAGGTATAAACTATGCAAGGAAAGTTCTCTCAAGCTGTGCAGTCTGGTGGGAGGTCCAGCATGAAGTTGGTGACACAGACAGAATATGATTGGCATGTGGTCCTTGGCTGGCAGCAGCATCTTCTGACACTTATGTAGATAGCAACTTATACTCTTAGAGTCCATCCCAGAACCCAGGGCCAGCAAGCCATGTTGTTAGGCATGCCCCAGAGGATGCTGAGAGCCCAAATTGTGGGTAAAGCTGTAGGAACGGAGGTCACAAGAGAAGGCAACAAGTGTCGGGGTTGGGGATTAGGGGTGGGAAGGCCCTTGTAGACTTGGAGGTGCTGAGCTGAGTCCCAAAGCAGAGCTCGGGGCTTACCAGGCCAAACTGGGGAATGGGAGGAGCCAAGAGAAAGTAATGGCCTCTTTGTGGATGGGGATGAGGATGGCTGGTAGAACTGTGGGGACTGTAGAGCTGTGCCCAGAGCCCATCTGGGTTTGTGGAAGTTGAGTGTTGACTCAGTCTGCAAAGTCCAAGGCCAGATGCTTCCTTCTATCACTGGAGAGATCAGTGTGTGGCAAACAAAACATAGTGTCTTTGCTGCTTCCCAAGATGAGACCATTTTAAAGGATCGTCAGGAGCATGCAGGGCAGCTGTCTGGGCCCTCCACGTCCATCCGCCAAGTAGGCATGGTTTCTGTGTTGTATCAGATTACTACCAGAACTTTATTTTTTGACTGTAGCTTTTCTGTGTTTTTCTTCCTCAGTTTACCAAGTTTGAAAATATGTTATTCACTCATAGGGTCTCTTCTTCATGCATGAGTTGTTCTACCTTAGGATCAGCCACAACAGCTTGTTTTTGACACACTTTAGGGCATGTTCCATGAAACACTGGCTTTTAGGAGCCCTGGTACTGGAGTTGAGTGAGTGGATAAAGGTACTTGCCCCCAAGCCTGACAACCTGAACTCAGTCCCCAGAACTCACCAGATGGAAAGACAGATGGACGGATGGACAGACACATACACACAAACACAAACAGGCAGAGACAAAATTTATCAAGAGATTATTGGTACCAGCAGTAACTGCCACATGCACTGAACTAATTGTTTTACAAGAGGAAAAGACAATGCACTTGCTCTATCCTGGGGTCTGGGTGACTCAGGGCTGGTCGCAGGGGAAGTTGAATGGACCAGGGTTTTGCAGTTTTCTGTGGCCCTGTATCTCCCTTCTTGAGCACTTGGCTACTGTTGAAGCTGGTGGAGAAGAGTCCTCGCTTGAGTCATGAGGACCATAAAGGAGACACTGCATGGTGGCTCTCTTCTGTCCCATCACCCCTGGAACTCTATCTGGTTCCAGCTACAGGTCTCGTGACATTTATATACTGAAATTCAAGCACCCAAGTGCCAAGTCTCCATGGGGTGCTCAGCTTGATACGTAGTGGAGTCTGATTGACTTTGGATATTTTTTCAAAGAGCAAAAATCCAGAACTCTTGATTAACAAAACTGAGTTGGGAAAGTGTGATTTGCTTATTGCAGACTGGACTGAAAGCAATTATTATTTCCCAAGGAGGCTGGTATGCCTTCCCTCCAACACGCTTGTGCAGAGCTCTGTTATGCAAACTGCCCTCTGAGTTAAGCCCTTTGCTGGTGTCCTCCAGCAGCGGTGCTGACTTTCCTTTGTTTTTATAACATAAGAAAACCAACCTGGACCATAGTATTTTAGTGCTTGGCACTGCAGGCTTTTGAGGTTGTGTCATGGGGACTGCCGGACATTCAGGGGCTGAGCTATGAGGGACCATCCTCCCACGCCCATCCCAAGATACAGCTGCAGCAAATGCAAGTACTTACTGTGAAGATCAGCACAATGCTACCATGTGGAACCTTACTTATATATAATTTACTGCTTTCAGGGCTGACTTTGAAAGCCACTGACATAAAGACTTTAAGTATTTGACTAAAAAAAAAAAAAAGTTAGATCCAAAGACCATCTCATGCTGTATGACCATGGTTCTAGAGTTTTTCTGTAATTTCTTAACATTTGAGGATGATTTCCAACATATGATGCTGAGCGGGTGTGTGTGGGGGGGTGGGTGGTTTGGTGTGGAGGCAAAAACACCTGAAAGAAGCAGCGTTCAGCAGAGCGCCCAGAGACGTATAGATTGATCCAGGTGTTTGGAAGAGACTTAGACCATCCGCGCTACCTACAAGCCATTTTCTCCATCCTGTTGAGTGTTGAGCTACCTGAGGTTGTGCAGTGTAGTCCAGGCTTCTGACTTTCATTAGCCATCATCCATGTGGGGGTGGGCATTGGTGGGTGATACATATGCCTTTGAGTCACTTCTGCTCCTATAAGCAATGCTTCCCCCATATTCCTGTAAACAACCCCAATAAATTCATTGGTTCACCAAGTTGGTAGGATCTGTACTTTGTCGCCAGTTCTGGAGTGAGGAATTGTTATGCACGTCTCCCTAGGGATAGTCTTTCACAACCACCTCCCTTGAGATGGGGTCTTGGCTGAAGCTCATAAATGAGGCTAGGCTGGCTAGCCTTGGAGGTTCTTCTGTGTCTGCCATGCCAGTGCTGAGACTATAGGCATGCACCATTATGCCTGGTATCTTTACATGGGTTCAAAGGATCTTTACCAACTGAGCCATCCCCTAACTCCACCCCTAGTTTCAGCTCAGTGAAGCCGTCTTTCAGAGGATAGCTGAGAAAGGATGCGTAGTGACTGGATATCAGCAAGCTCACCTTCTCATGACAGCGTCCGCCCCTCACACTGCAGCTTGGCAGTTTTTAGGCAGCTACAGAGGACAGGTCCACAGCTGCAGTCTTACTTGGTTAATCTCAGAAATCCTGGGCAAGTGGCAAGTGTGTACGTGCTGCTGACAAGGTTTGTTCCATGTGCAAGGAGGAGCCCCGTGTTAGCCAGCTAGCAAGACTCCACACTCATGACAGGCAGAAAGCCATATTTCACATGAATACAAGCCAGGGGGACATCTATCTTTCTTGACTAAAGTTGCTGTCAAAGTGACAGGCAAACCCCAGCTCCTACCTCTGCTCCCTGAGGACTGGCTAGAATTAGAAAAGCTGGCAGGCATCTAGCTGCCCACCCAGCTGTTCTCTAAAGAGCCTTCCAAGGCACAATAGCAATTCAGTAAATGTGCACTGGCCATTGCAGTGGGCATGGTTTGGTTTCACTTTGAAGTCTTAGTGGTGTATCCTGGGACAACAAGCACCACCCACTTTACCCTCCAAAGCTCAAGTGGTATCTCCATGCAGGGTGGCTGTCTTGTTACATACATGCTAAAACAATCTGTTTATGTACCCCAGTGAGTTTATCATGGGCATTTCTGTAATTATGTATGTATATGCCTTTCATATAACTGGATATAATATTCTTGTGTGGATAGTTGCATGCTGCTTGCTTCTGCAGCTGCCTGTTGACTCTCATCCAAGGAAGGATTTTCTAAAGTCAAGTATCTTTTTAGTTAGCGGAGTAAAGTTTTGATGACACTGGCACATGCATTCAAGTGGACCACTGACATCAGCTAGTTGTGGGTTATTGGCAAGGGGCTAGAGGTGTTTTGGATGTAATTATTTCCACTATTGGGGATCATCCTGTGCATTGCTGGAGTGCAGCCACACCCACCTGTATGCCCTTGTGTCAACTGGAAACTTCAAGAACAGCAGGACCCTTATACTGAGTGGTGTGCTTGGTGAATGGCCCTTGTCCAAAAAGCAGTGAATGGATCGCTGTTGTGGTAAATATTATTTGGTGTCTCTACCCCATCATAGATCATTTAGTTCCCAAATAAAAGACATAAAACCTTTATATTTATAATAAGCCTTAAAGCATTAAAGATGGGCACATATCAACCCTTTGTGCTATTTTGTCTACTTCCCTGTCAATAACCCTGTGATATCACTTGCCATGTTCTTGGGCTGCTTCTTCTCCAATAGGCCAGCCCTCAAGGCCATGTGCTCACAATCTACCTACCCTGTGGGACCTTCTTCCTTCTGTCTCTTCCTGGTCTCTCCTCAGACCCAGAGCCCAGGAACTGAAATCCCTCTTACCTTTCCTCTGCCCAGCTATTGGCTGGTGACATCTTTATTCAACTAATAGTTCTAAATTAAGGAGCAAGGTTTGCACAACGAAAGCTGCACGTGTGAGAATTCACTGTCTCGGGGTGACCAGACTTTGGGATACAGAATTTAGTATTGCAGTACATAGCAACAGACCCAACCTCAACAGACTCCCCCCAACCCGTCTGTGCAGCCATCTTTTTGGGTCTTCTGTAGGTGTGGCCAGCCACTCAGGCTAGGCTCTGTGCCCCTGAGGAGGAAGAACCCACACCTCTCTTAAAAACGCCATGGGGATGGATGTCTATACTAAATGGCCTCACCCCAGCTGTTCCCTCCTCTGTGTCCTTGGTTCTTCAGCAGAGACACAGACCTCTTTGTCTTGTTCTCCACCACATGATTACCCATCAGTATTTGGAGTCAGCTGTTGTGTGCCAGCATCCCATGGTAGCCTCCCACTCATTCTGAAGGCTCACTGTGTCAGTATGCTGAGGTCTGCAATGACTGTAAATGACTTGCCATACCAGGGCTTTAATTGCACCAAGCAAAGTCAGGGTAAGTTCCAACTTAGACAAGGAGATGGGGCCTCTGGGTAACTGACTTAATCACTGTTTGGCAATAATTGACAGGACAACCTGAACCCACTGCTCCAAATTCCTGATCTTCCCGGAAGTCCTGACTCTGTCCATCCTCCCTCTGACGTCACCTTTCTTCTCATGTAGAACTATTTCCTATGTGAGAAACATCAATGGTCCTTACCTTTCCTGCTTTCACACTTGCCTTAGTCACTGTTACATTGCTGTGAAGAGACACCATGACAAGGGCAACTTTTAGAAAAGACAATACTTCATTGGGGCTAGCTTAGAGTTTCAGAGGCTTAGCCCATTATCCTCATGGTAGGGAGTATGGCAGCAGGCAGGTATGGTGCTGGAGAAGGAGCTGATAGCTACATCCTGACCCACAAGCTGAGAGAGGAGAGAGAGAGAGGGAGAGGGAGAGGGAGAGGGAGGGAGGGGGGGGGGGAGGGGGGGGGGGGGAGGGAGAGGGAGAGAGACAGGGAAATAGGGAAACAGAGAGACAGAGACAGGGAAATAGGGAAACAGAGAGACAAAGGCATACAGACAGAGAGGCAGAGACAGACAGAAAGACAGACAGAGACAGAAGCAGGACTTAGCATGGACTTTTGAAACCTCAAAGCCGACCTCCAGTTTCTCCACCAAGGCCACACTTAATCCTTCTCAAGTAGTGCCGCTCCCTGATGACTAAGCATTCAGTTATGTGTCTGGACTACTGACCTAGAAAGTTTCCTGGCTGTGAAGTTGCTGTCAAGCTTTGGGGAACTTGTCTTGTGACATTTCCTCAACGTTCAACAAGTGAAGCCCACTGTATTCCTCTCCCTTCCTTCCCTGGAAGCACGGGCTGGCTTCCTCAGCATCGCACCTTTACTCACAAACCAATAGCTTGGGAAACGTTTCCCACTCCTCATGGCGAAGCCCTCCCGGGTCCCCACAGCCTTACCCCTGGTCATCTAATCCTCTCACTCACCTCTCGAGACTGCTGCCACCAAGTTCTTGTTCCCACAGCTGTGGTCCAGCTCGGACTCTACCCCACCCCCACTCCCTAGCTCCCTGTCACGCCCAATCAGTCTCTTGCTTTGTGTCTCTTAAGAGCCCTAGTCTTCTCTCACACACAGAGGGCCAGTTCCCAGCTCCCACAACGTAATGGCCACTGGGCAGTTCCTTCAGAAAGGTCTGGCCACTGGCTAGAAAGATACAGTGTTCGGGAGTGACCCCAGTCTAGACAGAGATACTGCAAGAGTCCAAGTGCAAAGTGACGGAGCCTGGCAAGAGTCAGGCCACCACAGAAGCCCTTGTTGAGTAGTCCTGAAGACTTGCAAGCTTAGGGTTTTCAACTCTATTGCTATCTTTAGTTTTTATTGTGCTGTGGAGAAACTCAGGGCCTCCCACATGCCAGCACGTTCTAAGCTAACCCTATTTAGGAATTTTGTTTGAGGACTTAAGGATGCGTCTATGTTTTGACCTATGGTTACATTTAACTCAGTCTTGCACCTTGATAAGCTCCTTGTCAATTTTGCTCCTATTGAGTAGGCCTGGCAGACTCCTGACAGGCAGTCACTTGATCAGGGAGTTAGTTTCAGCCTAGCCTCAGATCCTATTAACCACGAGTCCTACAGGACTCCAATAAAGAGCATTGCTTGTTTCAGCCAGCAGAGGGCAGCATGTCCCAGAAGTTGAAGGAGGCCTTTTGGAAAAGAAATTGGTTTGTGCACAGTTACACCAGGACTCTGAATTGGGTAGAAGAAAGGCAAGGCAGAGTTCTGCCCAAACCCCAGACCTGTGATGTAGCCACCCGAGCTGCCTCATGTTTGGGAGTCACTTTGTAATGGCCCGTTCTGCTGCTCCGGTCCGCGGGTCAGGGCCTAGCAAGAGAGAGAGTGGGGACAGAGATGCAAAGAATGGAGACAAGACAGGGAGTCTGATCAAATCTCTTCAAGTCTCATTTATTGGAAGGAAATCCTGGGTATTTATACCCTTTACCACGTGCCTTGCCCTCGTGGACAAGCACAGCTGAAGGCACTACGTCACGTGCCTTGCAGCGTGGATATCACGTGCACCTAGCTAGCAGTGAGGAGACCACGTGCGCCTTACAGCTGGTGACACTAAACAGCAAAACAAGATATGTGAGAAAAACAAGATGTTTATCAGAGTGTGCTCAGCTGTTGCGGGCTGTTGAAAACAAGTCTCTTGTCAGGGTATATGGCTCGAGATGGCTGTAAAGATGATAGCCGCTTTCTGCTAGGTGTCAGCTCCCAACACTGTGAGAGCCTGCGACACCATCGACTGGCATGCACATCGTGAGCTCGGAGGTCTCCAGTTCTCAGGAGCCACGGGGATGAAGTCATCGGGTATATCGATTCTAAAGTCAGTCGATGAAGACAAGTGAGGGTGGAACATGCAGTGTGCTGTTACTGAGATGTGGGATGAAGAAGGGTGAGGCCTGTGGGAGGTTAGAGAAGACAGAGTGGCGACAGGAGGCTGCCTCTGGGTCGGGATGTGGCTCAGTTAATAGAGTACGTCCCTAGCATGCATGAGGCCTCAGGTTCAGTCCTTGGCACTGCCATCTCAGTAGGTGGCAAGAAGAGAGGCTCAGAAGTTTATGGTTGTCCTAAGCTACGCAGAGCGTCTGAGGCCAGCTTGGGTATGATACATAAAGCTGTGAAAAAGAAAGGCTGTAGCTGGGTATATGTTTGTGTGGGTCAGATGCACAGGACCTGAGTCCCATCCCGCTGCAGGATGTGACCTGCT